GCACATTGTGCCCCAGCAGGAGTGATCCTACCAGGGAACCAAGACTTCTAAGCAATAACAACCTAAAATCTTAGCAGTAGAAGAAAAATTTTAGAAGTTTTCACCATGATGTGTTGTTGATAGGAATTAATGTCACTTCTACCCATGATTTGCAGACCTATGTGCCACAGCACTCTGTAGTGCCCAGCAAAGCTGCATTCTTTGCGACCAAGGAATCCCTGCAAGGGATCTTGATGTAGATTAAGCAAGAACCATAAGTTAATTTTTGTTGTTGCTCTGGTTACCATTGAGGTCTTAATCTCTTAGCATAAGCTTATATGCAGAAGAGCTCTTCCAACATATTCTTCTATAGTTCTTCTGCTCACCACATACAAAAATTAATACATGGCAGATGACAGACTTAAACCACACCATAATTTATCTCCCACAGCCAGTATGATCAAGGATCATACACAGGACTGTACCCCAGTCCTCTGTGTGAGGGTCTGGTGCAGTGACTGGAGGAGAAGCCTTGTCGGAGGTGGGCCCTGCATGTGTTCACCACTGAGAGTGCCCATAATTACACATGTGCTGAGACCTTGACCACCTTTTGAACATTTCCTGTTTAATCTTCTTAAAGGGTCATGTGACATTTGGGATTGTGTTACCAGGTAATGAAATTCAACATCTTGGTTCTTTCTCCCTGAAGGCAACACCTGTCATTAGCATACGGATTATTTATGAATGTGTTGTCTGTGCCTTGGTGAGACTTCTTCCTTGCATCTCAGCATCTTTAGAGTGCACTCCCAGTGGAATTACATTGGCAGTCATGTGCATGGATTTAGCCAGTGGACAGCTGTCATCCTCTGCACTAGTGACTCCAGCACTGACCAAATGGTCCATGATTTAAGTGGCTACAGTGGCAGGGCTGGATGACAAATATCATGCAACTTCATGTACTTTCATTCACAAAAGCAGACTGAGGTCTTCCCTCTGCCTAATCTGATGTCTGCAAGCAAAAGAGACCAGCAGTGACCTCAACAGAGCTCCTTAACTGAGAGTCAAGGAATCATTTGACGGCAAATTCACTAAGACCTTTGACTCTGGAAGGTACAGCAACTCACCTTGACTGCATGTAGTGCATGTGTGTGTCTTTCCAAACCCAAGGACTCACTTAGGACCACTAACCACTAACATGTGATTACCATGCATCCAATTAATTTAATTCTGTCAGTCTGACATTTTCTGGGGCCAAGGGCTCCACTTCTCAGTAAAAGACACTCAGCATCGGGTACACTGGAAGTTCCTGGCCTGACTGAGAGGTTCAACTGTGTTAGTTATTTGGGATGGCATGTATATGTTCATTGCATCAAGTGCAATTGGGCTTCCTTCATGAATGTGCATAGTTCCCATTTCTGTGAGGAAGGTTGCAAGCTAGCAGAATGCAGATGTTATCTGAGTCTATAGACATATCATGGGAATGGAAAGGAGCATGAGTAGGAATAACACCAGCCCCTACTTTATCTGACATTGCTTCCAGTGGACAATCTGAGCAACACGTGGTGCTGCCCAGCACATTTAAGCTCCGCATGCAATAGATTAGTAGGGCAGAAACCAGTCATTGTCTTTGCAAGGGCAGTGACTATAGCATTAGGGTGTATCTATGTAACATAGTGAATGAGGGTGGAATGCATTTAGATTCCAGTAATTCCACTGGGGTATTCTTTGGAACTCCCAGGTTTTGACAATATATACACAGATGCAACTTAAATACATAATTGACTCAATGATAATTAAACACATTAGTATATGACGTCAGCCATTGTAATATGTGAGTATGTGTAGGAATCCCCACTGTACTCAGTGCAATGATGGTGCACCAGGTTATCAGAAGAAAAAACCACAATCACCCCTGCTTCTGTCTATCGCCACCTCATTCCCAAATGATCAGAAGCTGCAATCATCTGTCATTTCAAAACAGATTACAAATTTTATTTCAAAATAGATGTCACTTCTGCACTTCTACATGAGCCTTTCCTCACCTGGCCTGCTTCATCTTCATAGTACATTACACCACTATCGTGAGATTCTGGAGAAGCAGAGACATGACATCACCCCAAGGCATTTTCTCCCACACACAAACATCGCCTTCCCATATCCTTGAGATGCTGGGATGTGTGGGCAGTGGCATTGGCAGAGAGTCCATGGGTAGATGCTGTCATCTTCCCCACATAGATGTTCATGAGGATCTGAAGACAAAATAAGCACCTGGAAAAAGAGATCAGCAGTTGCAGGTCTCATAAGGTGGATTTAGTGTAAACACTGATACTGGTGCCCTCCCCCGTTACTCTGACTTTCTGATCTTAAGAAAAAAGACCTGAAATATTCATGCAATTCTCTCTGTCACTGAACATTGAAGACATGCAGAAGCCATAAGAGAGCAGCTGGAGCTCCTGAATAGGCCTGTATTTTTTCACAGCAAGGACTAGTTTGCATATGATCTGCGTATAGACATGGATGAAAAGTCTTAAAGAATATAAAATGTGTGGCATGAGAGTATTTCCTCCCATTCTGTAAGTTATCTCTTTGCTCTTCTGATAGTGTCCTTGGCTGTGCAGAAGTTTTTTAATTTGATCACGTCCCATTTACCTATTTTTGTTGTTGCTATGATTGCCCTTGAATCTCTCTCTCAGGTGGTATGAAGTCAAATGCATGTAACATAAACACGTGTAACACTGTAATATTAGGAAAAAATTATGTAAAAATTAAATAAAATACAAAGAATATTATATAATTTACATAAAAGGAAATATGCCTGGGTGCCTTTAATTTTACTGTAACATTTAAAATTTTTATTTTATTTTAATGGAAAAATAATGCATATGTTTAATCTCATATAATGTGTTTTGATATATATATACCTTGCATATTGATCAAATTAAGAAAACAAGCATATTCCTCATCCAAAATATTTATCATTTTTACCATTTCTTTTTTCATTTCACAATATTATGGGTGTACAAATATTTTGGTTACTTATATGCCTTTGCCTCACCTGAGCCAGTGCCACAGGAGCGCCCTTCCCCCACACAGTTCTCTCTCCATGCATTATTTGTGAGTTTACCCACATCCATACCCCCACCTGTCTGGCACCCACTGAATATTACTACCATGTGAACGCCTTAGTGTTGATAAGTTAGTACCAATTTGATGGTGAGCACATGTGGTGTTTTTTTTTCCATTCTTGTGATACCTCACTTAGTAGAATGGGCTTCAGCTCCATCCAGGATAATACAAGAGGTGCTAGAACACCCTGTTTTTTTGTGTGGCTGAGTAGAACTCGACGGTATATGGATACTGCACTTTAGTAACCAACTCATGTATTGTTGGGCACTTGGGTAAAATTTTATTTGTTTTTCATTGACAAATAATAATTATATATATTGAAGGGATGCAATGGGATGTCAATATATGTATACATTGTGGAATGATCAAATCAGCATAATTAGCATGTCCATCAATTCAAATATTTGCTTTACTTTGTAGTGAGACTATTTAAAATCCTATGTTTCAGCTATTTTCAAATATGCAATACAGTATTGTTAACTATAGTTATAATGTGCAATAGAACAGAGAGCAGTCTGTGAGTGATCCAATTAGAAATCCAAAATATACTAAAATGATATATGATAAAATATTAAAGGTTGTTGCCTGGCTTTTGGTCTTATTTAGCAAAAGCTATAAGTATTTTACTCACTGCAGAAATTCACCTATTGACAATATTGCATATCCTTAATACTGAAGCACAGGTTACAATTATATCAAGGAATCCCATAAAAATTTTTTACAAAGTACCCCTATACTGTTATGATTTTTGCCATCTGTAATAAGTTCAAAGAGTTATACCTCACCTTAAACACTGTAGGTATTTCTTTGTCTAAATCAACACGGTCATAGCACACATCGTTCCAAAATACTCTACTGTGGGCTTGGATGCTGTGACCCACTGAGTAGTAAGTTAAAATAAAATTATTTCATTATGTCTTACTCTTAGGTTTGACAAAACAAGACCCCATGTATCATGTCCTTACAATAGTAAATACAGATGATGTAAGTTAAAATAGACTCTTCAAAGATGAAACCCGTGACTCAGGAACAGTTTAGAGCAGAGGTGATTATCCCAAGTGCGTCTGCTTTTGCCATCCTCATTTGATGTGTTTGGGAAAGAATGAAGGGCATCTCATGGTAGGTTACTGCAAATGTCATGGTGTGGCTCCAGACAATGTCACCACAGGCTTCTTACTGAAATCGCTGACTCCTTTCAACCAGCAACTGGGATATATATATTCTTTTAGATTTGCTTGCTATGCTCTGATATGGGCTCATTTAAACAGGCTCCCAGCCACAGTTTAGGAAATTTATTGAAAAAATAAACCTATAAATATCAGTGAATGTAAAAAAGTCATGAATTATTTGAAAGATGTACTATGCCTTGAGCAGATAAACTAAGAAAATAAGCTTGTTGCTAACTCTAGATATGAATATTCAAAGCTGTGGTATTGTGAAGAAAGAATTCTGGGCTGACTTGAGCTGCTCCTGAACTGATCACACTTTCCCACGATAAACATGTCCAACCACACCTATCCATACCATCCATTTTTGTTGTATGGAAGCTGTGCTGCTTCTACACAGAAAGATCTCATATAACAGGTATAGGAGTGGCAGGTGCTCCAGTGTGGCTGTCTGCACTTCTACTGCAAATGTTATGTTGTCACATTCAAAAGGCAACCTCTATCACGCCCTCACAGGAGCCCCCCAGGCTGATTTCTGTGCTTCTCACTTTATTCCAGAATCTCTCAATATCAGGTCCTTTCATCACAGGCCACTTCTCTTGCACATATCCTGGTGCACCTGTCCACGCCTTTGCAGACTCAGTCAACAGAGTCCCCATGTCCTGTTCTCCCCAGGAAGACACCTGCCTTCTTTTCCATAATGTCCATGTTGCTCACCCACATGCTGAGTTACCCTTCTCCTGTGGCCACCTCAGGGGCACCCACAGCATCCTGCACTATGATATGTGCTTAGCAGCACCTGAGATTTGCAGCTTTCTTGAGCTTTACATAAATCAAGTGTGTTTTAATGTTATAGAAATTTTGAATTAAAATACTATAAACAACTAAAAGCAACAATGTAACTCTAAAGGACAATAGTCACATATGTCTGCTAGTCCTGTTCCTTCCTCCACACTCCCTGACATGCAGTGTGGTGTCACCACCTTCCACTCTGACTCTGTAGCCATATCATAGCCAGGGGCTGTACAAGGAGGAAAAGCTTCTCACATAGTTAACAGTTTCCTGCTTACAATGAGGACACAGCTGTGTCTAAAGATAGACATAGAAATAATGCAAGAATGGAATTTCTTCATAAGACGAATGTTGTGCATAATTTTACACAAGTATCTCCCATGATTAAGACTGAGTTATAGAAGAAATATTTTGTGAATCCCACTTTAGAGACAAATCCTTGTTCAATACATAACACTGCTTTCTTCTAGGTAACGATGGCTATTAGAGTAAAAAACAAGAAATAATTTTGTTCTCCATAGGAAGTAGAAGAACACAGGAGAGGGCAGACAGGAGGAGCAGAGGGGGGAGGATGAGGAGTCTCATGGATAAATGACCATCTGGGGCAGGCACTTCACACAGGAAGGACTCAACTGCAGGGTGCTGTGTCATCATCCTGGTGCCACAAGGTAACCATGCACAAGTACCTGGATGCCACCACAGAGTGCTCAATATACTGAGGTTTCCAACTGCAGGTCTCCCCGATGCCATAGGTGTTGAAGGTGAGTCTGTGAGAGTCTCAGTGGACACATCTTACTTTGACCAATCACTCTTATTCTGTCAGTTACTAATGGCCTCTGGCATTTGCAAAGTGAGTCTATGCCCACGTGACAGCAGGAGGGTCCCAGCAATGGTGGGTGAGACAGTCCCATCAGTCTTTCCCAGGTCCCACAGGAGCCACAGCCTGGGCCACAGCAGAGCTCCAGATAAAGGGCCTGAGCCCCAGGATTTAGACACAGAGACCACATCCCCCATTTTCTAGGGGAAGATTGAGAAGAGGAAGATGTTAAAATAGAACCTAGGGATAAATAAAATGGACTTTCAAAAAATAGAACTGAATCATTTCTCTATCATGAGTGTACAGTTTTAAATGAAGAGAGAACAACTGTAAACCATTAGGTTTTAGGAGACACTGACCTTGAATGAGGTCCTCCCATGACCTAATCAGAATCCCAAAGACTGTCCCACTCAGGGAGTCCCGCTGAGGTATCTGTGCACTGAGTCTGGTTGGAAAATACTCAGCAGGTTCCCCTGGGCTTCCTCAGGACTCTGATCCAAGTAATCACCTCAGGGTCACTTCTGCCCACATGACTGACATTCTGCCTTTTGTGAAGGTTAGAATGTGTTCATATACTACAATAAGATGATTCTAACTCAGACACTAAAGTGATGAAAGAAGGTGGGTCCCAGAATAAAATTCCTAGACCAGAAGCCCCAAACTCTGACAGAAAATATTGTCACCTGCACCTGCCCTAAGCTGACTCTGCTCCTTGTGAACCGCCTGCCCCCTGGTGGCCTTGCACGCCTCTGCAGGAGGTTTGTGTCTGGGCTCAGGCTGGAGTCCCCACACTGTGTCTCTTGCACAGTAGTACATGGCTGTGTCTTCGACTCTCAGACTGTTCATTTGCAGATACAGTGAGTTCTTGCCATTGTCTCTGGAGATGGTGAACCGGCCCTTCACGGCGTCTGCGTAGTATGTGCTACCACCATTACCACTAATGGCTGAGACCCACTCCAGCCCCTTCCCTGGAGCCTGGCGGACCCAGCTCATTGCAAAGCTGCTGAAGGTGAATCCAGAGGCTGCACAGGAGAGTCTCAGGGACCCTCCAGGCTGGACCAAGCCTCCCCCAGACTCCACCAGCTGCACCTCACATTGGACACCTGCAAACACAGACACATCCTGGTCAGAAACTGCCACATACACCTGCTGTTTCACTCATATCCACTCACACACTCAATATCTCTAGTTCTCCATGAATTACCTTGTAACAGAGCAACAACAAAAATCCAGCTCAGCCCAGATTCCATGGTGATTCTCTGTGTTCAGGCCCAATCACCAAATGAGGACACCTGGGAATGCTGGGGCTGGGGTTCCTCTCCCAGAGCTGCAGGGTGAGGGCTGGGCTTGTTTTCATCAGCAGAGTGAGGGCCTTATTTGCATGTTCCCTGCTATATAGCAAGCTCTGGGGTGGGGACCCCTGAGGGAGGGCAAGATCCAGAGAAAAACTGTGTGGCTGTACTGTGCTTAATAATTAACTTCTGTTCACTTATCCAATTTACAAACACACATAAAGCATGTGGTGTAGGTGTCAATGTTTTGTGTATTTTACAGACATTAATGTAACCTTAGATGCATATAGCAGTTGTGTGGTATGTCCAAGAAAACATATCCTGAAAGATTTAGGCTCAGTGTCTTTGCCTATATTCCCATCCCTCTAACCCACTGCAGAGCAGGGCTGGACATGCCTACTGTGGTTTTTGGAATCTTGATTCCATAATAAGAATATAAAGCAAATGTCTTCCTTCCTATTTTTACTTAAATAATATGTGCAAAATATTTGGAAAACAAAGGGTCAATGCAGAAGCATTTTCAAGTATTTAATATTTCACTTATTTTTTACCTATTTGTCCATCAGTCCTTCCCTAACAAATCGTCTATTAATTGTTCATATTTAACATATAATTAATGTACAGTTCTCTTAACATATTTTAACAGTACAAATTAAAGGTATTGAAGTCACAGCCACCCTGTGTGCAATATTGATGATATTGATTTACTCAATGTTTACAATTTTGCTTCTAAAATTCCTCTCTGTGCCCTTCCCTCTCCCTCTCTCTACCCAGGCATGTACTAATATAGTTTATTTTACTTCAGTTTTCACTCTATAGGATTTATAATAGTGAAATCATGTAGCAGGTGCTTTTTTGCTTATTTTACTCACAGTACATACTGTGGATGCAGCCACACTGCAGTGTGTAAGAAACTGCCATTGTTGTTAATGATGTAATGTTCTAATGAATCATTTACAAAAAATACATGCTTATTAAGCTACTGGTCAATGTTGGGATTGTTTCCAATTCATTGCTATTAAGGATAAAACTTCTCTTCACCTGGGAAAAGAAGGTGGCTGAGAAAATGCTCTTTTTTGTACATCAACAACAACAGCAACATCATCATCATTCACATCAACACACCTACACAAGCTGTATATCAGCACATTTTATTTAATATTTCATTCAAATGACGGAAGTTATATGACAAACAGCAGACTTGAAATCTGCAGAGAGACCAGGACTTGCAGGGAGAAACAGGACCAGCGCATTAGCTTATAGGCACAGTCCACCAGATGGTATGTGGGCTAGGACAAGACTATACTGGATGTAGAAATTGAATCACTAGAAGGTGGATTTAGTAAAGGGATTACAGTTTAAATTTTCCAGGGGTCACATTGTTGGGGAATTCCTGTTCTATTTTCTCTAGGTATTTTCACTCAGGATTGGGGACACATCATAAGGCAGTGCCCTCACAGATGGTTCTGTCTGAGAGAGAGGGAGACCACATTTCTGAAATGCATTCAGAGCCACCTCCCATATCTACTACATACCTATAGAATTACCCTTCATGGGACAAGAGGCAGAAATCAGTGTCCTAGCCCACTGGGGAACCTCACAGGAAATGGGAGTGGAAGAGATATCACCCTGAGGTTATGCTCAGAAACACTACTCCTCTCTATCATGAGAACAAAGGCCTTATCATCAGGGACAGTCTGCAAGTCTGGAAGCTGAAGGGGTTGATGGAGAACTTCCCAAGCTGTGGGAGACAAGAACTGGGAAAAGAAAGACACTGAGAAGGTGTCACTGCACTGTCACCGAGTGCAGTGTCACCTCTTCCTGAGCGACATGACAACACGGAAGGGCACAGTGCAGACCAAAGGTCACGATGCCTGCCTAGGAACTCAGCTCAGAGAGGAAATCAGAGAAGGCCACCTGAGGTCAATCTCTTCCACCCCATCAACAACTATCAGGTAAAAGCAAAATGGAGACTAACCTGGGCAAGCGGAAATAGATTGTCTCAGAATATGGGGTATAAACAGAAAGCCAGGCAGGAAACACATACTATGTATTGGTGGATGTGTCTAAACCCTTTTGTGCTCATAGCAGAGAAACCTTCAACACCTGGAACCACTTCAACAATAAATTCCAAATGCAAGTCTGACTAGACTCACACAAACTTCCCCAGTACAAGCCTATGAAATGTAAGGTGTGGACATATACAGGGAGAAAAATACATGAAATGAAATAATAAGTCAATGGCAACCACCAAACACAGCATATCTGTCTAATATACAAAATTATATGTTATGATAAATAGATATGGAAAGTCATAATAAAAAATACCAGAATGAACTTCATAAATGACACATCTTAGAATGGATAAAACAGGAAATATAAGGTGATTACAAGTAATGTGTTAAAATAGAAAGGGAAACAATATTAGCACAAATGAATATAAATAACTTAGGTAGAGACATAGGGATTTTAAGGAATAGTCAAATATAAATGCTCAAAGTATTTAAAAAGAATTCAGCACAAATAAGCCTTTGACAAACAAACCAGCCGCGTTGTCTCATTTCAAAAGAAATTATGGACTTGAAAATAAGTGCCAGGAACTACACAGCAAAATGCAAAGGAAAAGAACAATGAAAAAAAAATTTTGTACCCACAGAATTTGGGAAAAAAAATAATAAATAAATAAATTTAAAAAATGAAAAAAAAACACATCAGCATCAAATAGTATCATATAAATATAATTGAAATTTGAAAGGTAGAAGTAAAAGTCCAGACATGGAAAATAAATATTGAAGAAATAATGGTCACATATGTTCCAAACTTCATGAAAGATGTAAAAATCACAGATCTAAGGATGTAAGAGCAACCTCAAGAAGGAAAAAACACAAAAACGCTACTGCTACACACATGTGCCTATACAAAACCTAACACATATCCCCACACACAGTGAGCCCATTTTCTCCATATTATTATTGTTAATTGATTGAATTAAAATTACTTCTATTTATGGCATGAGATAGTGTGTCATGTATACATGCCTTGACTTATAGCTTTAGGCATAGTCTTCCTCTGTCTGATGAATCCAAGTCCCCCATGAAGCCTTTTTTTTTGGGGGGGAGGCGCGTTATGTCCATACAGTCTAAATGAGCTCCAAATAAAGAAAAACAATCCCACCATAAAAGTCTTTTCCTTCCTTTTTTAAAATTGGCCTAAGAAACATATTTCACATTTGATAATCTCCTGTGTGGTCTTCATCAGGTTTTTGATTACTTAGTAAAAGTGAGGTTTAACTGGGTGATGATTTTTATATGGGTTTAGCTTTCTGTATTACTTTTAATGTCTTTTGGTTATCACTGTGGTTAAATAAATACTAGTTTAAAATGACCTGTGATTCAATTGTGATTAAATATGCTGAGCCTTTGATCAATGTAGATATAAGTTATGTTGCAAAAGGAAAACAATAATACACCTGTAATACAGCTGTCAGTGTGTAACTCTCCATGCATTGTTTCTGTGATCTTGTTACCTACTTGCACTAGACTGGATCATAAATTTTGTAATTGTCTGCAAGTCTGGCAGCGGAAATGGCCTGTGGCAACCTGAAATCAGTTTGAACTGATGGCTACAAAAATGGCCATCCAAATCACTCTAATTAGTTTTGCCCACCACTGCCACTTACAAAAAAAGCTTGACATCTCAAAACCTTCATAGCGCCAAGGAAACTTCTCAAACAGAAATATGTAACATTTCCCTTCTAATCTTCTCTTTGTTCCTCATAGGGATAACATTGGTCCATACTCAAAACTATGTCTTCCAGTTTGCAAATTGATGTTGCCAACAAACTCTCTCTTTAACTATATAGAGGTCTTGGTAATCCTTCGGATGACAATTTATAATATGCGGTAATGGTTAGAAATCATGTTCTTTGATGTGTATGTCTGTCTTTTCCAATCCCAATAAACAAATATTCTTACCTACTTGTTTTGTTATACCTGAAAGGAAATATCATCCTTAGCAAATATAGTATTAGAAAGTAAAATGATATTCATTAATAGGCTCTGTTTATTACTTATTTATAATAATGACATCCATTGTAAATACTAGAGGCTTATTGATAGATCTAAAACCCCAAACAGTAGAAAACTCTGATGCAGCTGCCCTCTGGTTCATGCGCCCCTCACCACCCATGCCCTGCAGGACGCCTGCAACCTGGTTTATGAGGACAACTCTCAGTCTAACTGCAGGGCTCTGCTGAACTGAATTATGTGGAGACATTCTCAATTATTTATCATCCCATTACTGTCTGTGATGCTGAGCAGGTGTGTTGACCCATCCTGGTAAAGTCAGGTGCAGCTCACTCATTGGCAGCTCTAAGACAGTGACCACTAGCCATCCAATGTCTGTGACCAGCAGGACCCACGGGTGGCTCTGGTACCTGCTGGTAACTCCTGACATGGCCACCTAGTATGTCTTGGGTCCTTAGCTCCATGTCTGTTAGATGAAAGATTCCTAGACACAGAACATCCCTGGGATGTGTGGACCAGGTCTGTGTTTCTAATCCCAGTAAAAATAGGAGTTTTATGGAGCTCTTCCTTTTTATAATTTCAGTATATTACAGGAGTGAAAATATTTAGGTTAAACATATTGCTTTTGCCCCATCCAAGTCAGAGCCTCATCTCCCACACAGTGCTCACTGTTTCCATTAGGTGTGTGTATACCCATCCCTCCTCCCCTCCTCACTTGCCCTAACCAGGGAGATGTCCTAGTGGGGGAGTCCCGCTGAGGTCTGTGCCCTGAGTCTGGCTGAAAAATGCTCAGCAGGTTCCCCTGGGCTTCCTCAGGACTCTGATCCAGGTGATCATGGCAGGGTTGTTTCTGCCCAAGTGAGTGACATTCTGCTTTGTGGGCTTGTGAGAATGTGTCCATTCACTACAACAAGACATTTCTAATTCAGACAC